CCGTACCTCCTGAGACTCAGCCACCCAAAGTAGAGCACTGGAAGAAAAAATGAATCACTGACCTATACTGTAAAATGCAAGTTAGCCAGTCCAAACTTTCAAAGTTGTTCCCTGCTTTTTTTGTCACGCCAAACAATCTAAAGCAGCACTACATGCCAGAGAAAAAATATGGACATTCAGTTTGGGCTGAACTGTCCCTTTAAAAAATGTCCTTGCAGCCTAAGGGAATGCAGAAAGTATTTTCAAAGACGCTGCTGTCCTAAAAGTCATTTTGCTCGGATGTTGATTCTGTCAGTGTCATTTTGAAGTTGACAAGTTTAGCGTTGGGTGGAAATTTTAATGGAACAGAAAAAACAATGTAGGTGTTGTTTCGGGGCTGCCATACCGATGTGAAATTACCCATGGACTAATGCATGATCAGACCAGAGGCACTTGTGTTTAAGTGGATGCTGCCTGTAAGCTGTAGCCATGGAGACAACAGCTTTAACTGCAACCGGCCAAGGATAGATAATTTGACAGATTTTATGGTCTCCCACCTGGCTTTAAATATTTCACATGCGATTATTTGCATTAAGTTCACTTCATTTATTCCCGTAGTTAATTAAAAAAAAAAAAAAAGGAAAAAAAAAGACACTAACACTGTGGATTCCTGGAAGAAGATAACAACACTACCGACTGAGTGAAATGCAGCAAGAGAGGCAGAACAACACTTACTGTGTCCAACTACTGTGCTAGCCTAGTTTGGCTGTAGACGGAGAGAAATGCTTTCAACAGAGGGGGGGCTCTGCAAAGTCCACGGGTCTGTGGAGATTTGCTTACAGTGATGAGATGGTGGAGGTAAGATGGCTCAGAGGATTCAAGCTCCGCTGAACGCAAGCTTATGTCTAATAATCAGCAGGGAAGGACTCAGCGTGGTCCCTCAGAAAAGGAGACTGCGTGAATGCAACAGAGAGGGAGGAAAACCAGAGCAGGGGATGGATTGAAGCAAGCAAAAAAAAACAAGTTGTTAGCGAGGAGAAAAAGGAGCGAGAAATACATGTCCCCATGGCTACGTTATTTCTCCCCTGCGATGGCTTTTATGTGTTCGAGAAGAGTTTTGATAACATTTTGCTGCCTTGCATATTTTTGTCCATAATAGCTTTGAAAGTCGTGTAGGAATATTGGAAGGAAAAATGAATCGCTGACCTATGAAATGAGACCTAGCCGGTCCAAACTTACGAAGGTGTTCTTTGTTTTTTTTCTTTTCCTTGTTGTTTGTGCGGATGGCATTTGGAGCGGTTCTGTGGGATGGATTTTGCCGTTAAAAACATCACGGCACCGCAGACTGATGAAACTCACCACTGACGCTTGAGTGCATTTTGCCAGCTGTTCCAGATTACAGAGTACAGTCATTTATCGCACTAACTGGCACCAGCATAGCATCCTTGTCCATTAACACAGACTGAACTCTCACACATGCCCGTAGCTGCCGCATAATACATCACAGTGATCCAAAGTACAACCACGTCATGCTACTCTCTCCACTGATGCAGGATTTGCTCATTAGTATCAGCACTTTATCCATATTGTTATTGTCAAAACAATGTTTAAACTTGTCTGAGCCTGTGGGTGTGTTTTAGTGTGTGTGGCTCTCCAACCGATGCGATGGTCATCATTGGCCCCAAAGTCAAGCTCTTTCTTTCTTATCATCAGTGAATTATCTCCACAAGCCACTCCACCAATACGGGGCCTGAACTACACGCCTGTTTAACGGGAGTCTAGCGAGGATGAAGTGTAGGGGGGCAACGCGGTCGAGGTCAGAAAACCACAGCACAGAGGCGGCTGCGGGGCGACACAACAGCATTTTAGCAGGGGCCCAATGAGTGATTACCTTGCAGCTCCAGTCATAATTCAGCGTGACCTCAATCTGCCAGCAATGCTATAGTTTGATGGATCTGCTCACAGTTTGGGTGTCGGGTCCTCGCATGTCAAACACAGGCAGATAATAATCAGGCTATCTGTTGCTTTTACAAAATAAAACTTGGTGGATATTAATGCTGCGCGTGCGTTCGTGCACTTTCTGTTTAATTCACCCGGATGGCGCGTAAGGAATCACTGCCTCCGCAGGTGTCAGAGTAGATACTAGAGACAAAACGGTGTCACAAATGGTTAATTCCCATCATGATGATGCCTGTCAACGGTTGCTCTATCCATCGACAGGCCCATCTCTTTGCTTTATCAATCAAAGTCAGCAAAAACATGCGTGGATGCACGTACACACACATGCAAACGCACAAGTGTGCTCTCACATATGCAGACATCCTCGTCCCAGTGTGGATAATTAGTGGATTCCCTCAGTGGGTGATAAAGCCTGTGCACTTCTCTCCTCTCTCTTTGACCTTCCCCAGTGAGCTTCCGACCACAGTGGGGCTCATCACACACAGCTCTAATACATATTTATCGGCCCAGTGACAGCTCTTGAGTGCTGGATTTATATGTTTCCTGACAAAACAATAGTAAAACCTTATTCATTCGTCCTTCTTTTCATCAACCAAAGCAGGAGATAAATCCAGGAGTGTCAACCTGGCTGTAGCTTCCTCAGCAGCTGGCCATCTGTTGGTTGGTTGGGGTGTATCTGGACATGGGACCCAGCCAAGGTACACTCAAGCAGCTCTCTCCAATTACTGCAAACGGATTTGATATACGTATGTCTGTCAAATCGCCTTGGCAATCACAGGAACCTGTGCACTGGCAAACGTTTTCCTACAGCAACTTCTGATCAAAGACATTCAAAAAGTGGCTGTGGTATTGCTGGCGGCATTGGGATTCAGAACAGACTTCCTGCACCATGACTGGCTCTATTTGAACAGCGCAATCAGAGTTGAGATGTGAAGAGAGGCAATACCACTAAAGAGTGAGGGGAGGGGAAGGCGAGTGGAGAGGAGAGGAGGAGGAAGAAGAGGAGGGAGGGATGGCAGGATTAAGCCCCAGCCCACCCCCTACCCTCTCTCAGCCTCCAAGCGGCCATCTTTCATCTTGCGACTGCCCCTCTAATGCTTTCAAGTGGGCGAAGCCCTCGACATCTGCTTCCGCTCCGTGGGACACAGCACAGGCCACCGTCCTGCGGAGATGCACAACCACAGCTCAGTTCAAGGGGCACTGTGAGGCCAGCGCCACTGAAGGCGGAAGGTCTTATCCACGTAGACAGAAAAACAAAGACATCAAAAATGACAGTGTGGCACGGGGGATTAAGTCAAAAACTTATATTCAGACAAGTAGAAAAATAGAATAGATCAGCTCTTGAAATAAACATTAAAATGCATCATATACTAGTGAACAGACTCACAACAGAAACGCTTTACAGTTCACTCACCCAGACACATTAATTCTACTTACTACTTGAGAACAAATAAATGTAAATAGCTCTGTAAATAAACACTCCGTCTTCGCCAAGAAGAAATAAACCCCCTGCCGCCTCTGATTAAGACTACCAAAGTGATATATCTGGCACTTAAGTCTGCTGTTTACCTCATAAACACAAAGATTTCAGCACAGCCACCCACACTGATGCTGAAAAATCACAAACTGAGTCTGCGTGCCTGTATGTTTCTCTGCTAGTCTTTTTGGCTTCAGTGTGGGATGTCTAATGACATTTTTTTTAATGCATGCCATTTCAGGAGTATTTCTTCCGCTGTGGCTTTCAATATCATGAGTTCACTGGAATTCCTTGACTCCGGCAATGATAGCGCCGTGAGCAATAAAGCGGCATGGTCAAGTGGTAGGAGCTTTGCCTCTGATTTTCTCTGAGATCAGTAAAATAGCACTTGTGATTTTCGAAAACCATATCTGGAGTGCAGATGAGTGGTGCTGTCGAGGACAGGGCACTGCCGGTGATACGAGGGAGGCCTAAATGACACTAGGTGTGTGGAGGGGGGTGCATGTCGTTTTACCTTCACTCTTCTCAAATTTTCCAATTATTTCTAAGGAAATTATGTTTGTTGTTTTGGATTTGTTCCTTGATGAACAGTCATTTCAGATTTCCTTCATACATCAGTGCAGCTAAAATGTAATTTAATTTGCAAGAGCTCCCCGTGAGACTGTAAATGCGTTCGCCTTGATTTCTGAACCACCTCCACCCCCTTTTCAAAACCCACACACAAGAAACAAACTTCCATGTAGATTCGTATAATGCGTGATCTGTTGACTCTTGTTTCAACATGCGTCTATTTCTGCAGCGCACAAGCAGGTGAGACCTTTTCTGTGCAGTCTGGTCTTCTTTCATTGCTTGCCACCGCAGTGTGTTCTAGTGCCAGTTTAAAAATTTGCAGCTACTTCTGCAAATGCAGTGAGCGGGAGTCAGGGTTTTTTTTTATTATTATTATTTATAGAAATCCACCCACCCACTATGTTGAATTTAGTGGTCTTCCACATGGAAAAAATCTGAAAGACTTCAATTTTGCTATGTGAAAAAAACTGACATATAACTGATGCAGGGGTGCTATGCATATATAATGAGCGCAAAAAGTCTGTGTGTAATTGCTTCACCCAGTTTAAGCTACCTTGAAAAGAACGTTATCACCAGGAGGGGATGGGAAACAGGGTTCATATATTCTTAAATCAAACTGTGGTGCATGTGCATGAGGGAAGGCGTTAATATATTTTACGGTATAGACTTGTTTGGCAGCTTTGATTCATTTTCCGAGAGGGCACGTAGAGATGGATAGGGGAAGAGAGGATGACAGACAGAGCGCTGATTCTTTCCCATGTCTGCGAGCTGTCGGCGAGACCAGGCCATCTGCACATTCATTATCACGGCAGTGATTCCATTATTGTTCTGCATGGCAACAAGGACTTTTTCTGTCTGGCCTTTGTTATTCTTATCAACTGTGTAGCAGACAGCCCCCTTTTGATCATGGCAGCAACGAAATTAACTGCTATCATGTAGTATAGTGCATAACTGAATTATCCTTCAGAATAACAACAGTAAACATCATCTTGTCTCTTCTTGTGTCCTTGTGCAGGTCTGTTCCACAGAGCCATCATTCAGAGCGGCTCAGCCCTCTCCAGCTGGGCAGTGAACTATCAGCCGGTCAAGTATACGCGTCTCCTGGCAGAGAAGGTGGGCTGTAATGTGCTGGACACATCAGACATGGTGGACTGTCTGAGGAAGAAGAGCTCCAGGGAGCTGGTGGAGCAGGACATACAGCCTGCAAGGTACCACGTGGCCTTTGGACCTGTAATTGATGGTGATGTTATTCCCGACGACCCTGAGATCCTAATGGAGCAAGGAGAGTTTCTCAACTATGATATTATGCTGGGGGTCAACCAGGGTGAAGGGCTCCGGTTTGTGGAGAACGTGGTGGATTCAGAGGACGGCGTATCTGGAAATGACTTTGATTTTTCTGTGTCCGATTTTGTGGACAGTCTTTACGGGTACCCGGAAGGCAAGGACACACTTAGGGAAACCATTAAGTTCATGTATACAGACTGGGCAGACAGGGACAATCCTGAGACCAGACGAAAAACGCTGGTGGCTTTATTTACTGACCACCAGTGGGTCGAGCCGTCGGTGGTTACGGCTGATCTCCACGCTCGCTATGGCTCGCCCACCTACTTCTACGCCTTTTACCATCACTGCCAGAGCTTGATGAAGCCCGCCTGGTCTGATGCCGCCCATGGCGATGAGGTGCCCTATGTTTTTGGAATTCCTATGATTGGTCCCACTGACCTTTTTCCCTGCAACTTCTCCAAGAACGATGTCATGCTGAGTGCTGTGGTCATGACCTACTGGACCAACTTTGCCAAGACTGGGTGAGCACTTTTTAGTTTTCCATCAGAGGGAAGCTACCATTGCCATTTAAATTACAAACGTATTCATAATGGTAGCAGCTTGATATTGATGTATGCCTATGTGCTCAAGTAGTCAATTTCCTGTTTGCTCATTTTCTACTCAGCAAAAGCACACTGTAAAGATAAAAGGATCAGTCATTTAATCAATTAGCTGTTATTTAAGTTATTTTCAGTTATTTTAATTGTTAAGCCTTTTTTTGTAAGAAAACAATGCAAAACACTTGTTGGATCAAGACGTGAATATGTTTTCTTTTGTATTGCTGTGACTGTTTGCTGGATAAAGCAGGACATTTAAATCGTACAAATATATTAGTAATTGATCAAAAATATGTTGCAGTCCTAGTATACAGTAACTTACATTTTTACCTGAAGCTTTACTCTCTAAAATTGATGACTGAGGTTTTACCCCGAGGGTTACAGAGTGTTATCTTAATTTAAGGCCAGCTCAGTAAGATGTTCTGGGCGAACCGATGGAGCGATGGATGCATGTTGATAGTTTATGTGTGGGTTTTCTTGTGCTCGCTCTTCCTCCGGTAGCTTATTTCTACCACTCCATAGACCGTCTTAAGAGCATAAACTCACCAGCACAATCTGTAGTAGTTGTGCAGTGGTAAGAAACCATAAGGAACATGAACAGATAGCTACAAATGCAGAAGCTCATTTAACAGTGGGTAGACTGGATATATTAATCTCTGATCTCAGATCAGGCAGGTGTTTGTGTTGTGTTTCCTCCTGCAGAAACACAGTGCTTCTCCACATTCCCCCTGGTTTGTGTTTTCTAACAACTGTACTTTTACATTTGTTAAACTAGTGCGCATGCAATTATGAACTTGCTAAGTTATTAATAGAAGGTTACAGATTTTTAAAAAAAAATCCTATTTCAGTTCTATTAATAGCACTTCTGTGCCGCAAAAAATGAGCTGCAGGAGAAAGGAAGCTCTACAATAGATTGTATAGGGCAGAAAAGGCATTTTTCAAGAGAGACATTTTTTCTGAGGTATTTTTTGCCCCGACTTCCTGGGTCTCAGTCTGAAAACCTGAGACATATTGAATGTGAGGAAGATTAAATGTTCCTGCAGAATGTGTGCTGTGCTATTCGTGCTTGGCTGCCTGTTTGGGTGCATGGCTGCCTGCCCTTCTGTATACTTGCGTCCATATGTGTGTGTACTGTGGCTGCGTGTGTGCGTGTTTGGCTGGAAATACTATCTATGCTCTATTATACCGGGGACCAAAAGACACAAAGACTTATCAGGGAGGCATATCAAACTCTTGCCCTCAGCGGTATTGATTCCCTAAGCCTGGGCCCAGTCAATCACTCGTGCCCTGGGTGTCTCTTGCTCCCCACTATGCTCAATTTCCCCACCACCCATCACAAAACCGGACCATTTTGTATGACTACTAGTAATCATTTCTAACAACTTAAATTTAATTTGACAATCCCTGTTCCTAGAGGGGTATTGATCCCATCCTGAATGGGATGCCATCAGAAATCTTGTTCTGTTTTTTTATCTGTCTCTACATCATCTGCCGTCCAATCAGGTGGCATTTACATCCAATCGTCTGGCTGATAGGACCTTGAGCTGCTAATGGCTGACTAGTGCAGATGGACTGATGTCGGAAAGCACTGAAGTCCATCAGTGATGCCCGGACAGCTGTCTCCTCTGCCTGGCAGCCATTTTGTGTCAACACACACAAAGCTGCATTTGTAGATGTGCGCAGATTGATTTTCGTTTTTCTTTTTCTTTTTTTTTTAACTTGTCATTTCAAGAAAGTGATCTGGTCTCATGAGAGGAGACAATGTGTTTAATCTAAATGACAAACAGAAGTTTGAGGTCTCGAGTTAACAATGCATGGTGCTTATGTCTCTGATCTTGGATCTTGTGATGTCACCAAAATTAATTCTGATGAAGGATGACAGCATGTCTGCCATGCCTATATCCAGTCAGACTCAACACAGCGCCGTGGGCAGTGAGCCTGCTGTAACCCTAACCTAGCCTTCACCCTGGCATGCGCCAAGAGTAGAAAAAGCAAACTGCACTTTACAACTGACCCCATGTCAGTTTTGTAGATTTCCATGTCACTGATTGATTGAGATTAGGGGCAGAGCAGCGAGAGGATAAACCGGTTCTAGATCTGTGTTCACCATGTTATGGGTATCTGTCCTGTGGTGTGTCGCCTTGGCCTGTCTCCAGATAGAAAGATTACAGGCAAACCACAATTAGGCACTCAGATGGTAAAGAGCCCAGGATTAGATGCCAGCAGAATAAAAACTCACCGTGCTGCTTTAAAGGGTAATTTTACCCAGGCCTATGTAAAGGAATCTACCATAAACTCTTAAAGGAGGGGGGGAATTGAGGATTTAAGATATTTCCCACAGACTCTGAAGTTCGTGCCTCTCATTTAGACCACGTGAGGGGATATCACTCTCTTCTAACACCACCCAACGCAATCTGGCTCAGGAGGACGTATTTTTAATTAAGACCCAACTGAATTGGCTTCGCCTTCATGGCTCGTCCAACAGCCATCTCGCCTGTATCTGCAGAGTAGCTCTCGCTCCCCTTCCAGATGTTCATAATGAACTGACCCAGATTGCACTTCCTGCCCCTGTCTCTAAATCGGCTGTAAGAACATGTGTGACACGATGTCGAAACACTTGGGCTGCATGTCAACAGTGGGTATCATAGCAGCATTCCCCCCAAAGCTCTTCCTGTCCCTGGCTCTCTTGTGTCATCTTTACAGGGCAAATCCCTTCCCATGCCCTTTTTTTTTTCCTCCATCAGCATCAGTGAAGCATAAAAGCATACAGAGTGCACACTGTCAAATCTTCTTAGTGTGTGTGCGCACATGTGTGCGGGTGTGATTGTGAGAGCGAGAGTGTGCGTTTACACTATGGGGCCGTTCTTTCCCAAGAGTCAGAGATGTTTCCGAAGCGCAGGGATTTGCTCAGCTCTGAGGTTTTTTTTTCTGGCTGCAACATTTGTTTTACTATTGACTAGCAAAAATTGGCCTGGGCTTGCCACAACAACTTCATCTGAACTGTATTGTCAAAACTTTGGTTTTCTTTTTTTTTCGCGCACAAGTCTACTGCGACTGATGTGAGCACAGCAGCGACACAACTTTACACAAAAAAGAAAGAAAGAAAGAAAGAAAGAAAGAAAGAAAGAAAGAAAGAAAGAAAGAAAGAAAGAAAGAAAGAAAGAAAGAAAGAAAGAAAGAAACTTTGGCAGAAGTCTTCAGAAAAAGACAGGATGATGAAAGGCCTGGAAAAGATCAATCATTATATATCATTAGTGCTAGAAATTTGTTGGTCCATCTTTATACTTGTTTTTATCCTGCTGGCTTGTGCTCATTTCCCCAGTTCTGTGTCTGAGCTCTGCCACATGCAGTGCTGGGTATAGCTAGGTAGTTAGAGAGCAGAGCGCTGTCACATGTTGTTGTTGTTTTTTTTAATTCTCCTCCACAGATCCCCCATTCCTCTCTCACTCTCTCTCTCATTATTCTATACAGTCATGTATTACGATCACAGTGTGAGCTAAAATATGCACCATTGATTGGTTTGGTGACAAAGGCTGCCAACTAAACAAATGTAGACAGAAGTAACTACACTGTGTGTCTGTGGTACAGTGTTACAGCCAGCACTCTGATTTACAACACTGCTGGTTGATTTTTCTTTTGTTTTCCTCCTACTTGTCAATCGAACACTCCTCTTCTGTAGGATTAACAACACACATACATCAGCTGTTTCTCCTGTCTGACCTCATTCACGCAAAGCTTCAGCCTTTTTTTCCTTTTTTTTACCCCAGCTGTCTAGTAGTTACATCATTCAACTCTGATCTCCCTCTTTGTCCTTCGTCTGGATTATCCCTGGTTCTCTTCAGTTTCCTTCGTTAGGCCCAACCGACTAAACCTGCACCGGGAGTACTGAATGCTTGGCATTGTCGAAAAGCTCAGCCCCCAACAGCAACCTACCTACTCCATTAAATAGGCACTCACTTGATAGGAGATTTGTAGCCAATATCCTGATTTGCATTAGAGAAGGTAAGGAAGTGGTGTGGCTTGTTAAGGGGCCGGGATGCCATTGATCGGTGTCTATGCTGTGCAGTGAATGTAATGAGAGGAGGGCCGCAGGGGAGGAGAAGAGGAAGTAGATCTGCATGTATGCGTCTGCGAATAAGTGGTTGTCAGGTTAAAACATGAATAATATTCTTAAACGTATTCATGTAAAATGATCTTCAGACGTAGCTTAAAGCTCCCGATTGTTCAAAAAAAAAAAAGGACAAAGTGAAAGTAGGGAAAGTTTCGTGAGAGCCAGGAGAAGCGTTTTTTTTTTTTTTTTTTCGCTGCCACTCATCTAATCAAACAAATCAATGGCATCTATAACAGGGAGCGGCCCCAGAGCTGTGTCCTCCAACACTTCTGCACACCCCAAAGTCACAGCGCCTCGCCCCGCATCACTTAGCCTGCTGAACCGAAGGCTGCCATTAAATATGAACCTCGCATCACTCAGCCCCATGTCCCACCGTGCAACCACATGAAGGGCAAAAGAGCACAGGCTGATAATTTGCCTGTTCAGCGCTGAGGATGCCCCCCTCCAGCCCATCCCATACACTGAACCAAGACGAAGTCTACAAACAGAATGAGACTGAGTGTATTTCTTCAAAATTTCAAGCACAGTGTCGGGGGAAAAGATCTGGTAACCTTCTCATGGAGTGAAAATTACAATTAGTTCCTTACTTTGCGTCACCTGGTAAGGAGATAAACAACTGCAGGGGATGAATTTGTTACGCAACAATGACAACAATACCAAAGAAAGCTTTTTTTTCTGCAGCCTAGCAAAATGAGCATCAGTGCCGTTAAATTAATGCATGCTCCTTGGTATATATATATATATATATATATATATATATATATATATATATATATATATATATAAATTGAGAAGCTATACTCAGCTCAGGATTCAGAGACCTTGAGTGCAGTGAAAATAGATTCTTGTCTTCCGCCTTAGGGCACGTAAACGTGTCTTTTCAGATTTGGTGATGGCTAGGTCTATGATCATTCAAGCGCTTCAAATTACATCAGGATGAAAAGGGGAAGGAGGTACACCGGGAATGAAAAAAGAAAGAAAATGATATTCATTCTCCCCCCTTATCTACCTTTTACATCAGCGCTTGCAGATAGAGCTCGGAATAAGTAATGAGCTCCGGTCCCATTCTGCCACATGTGTAGGCAGAGCCGAGAGTCGTGTCTGTCATCCAGGTGGCACGGCTTCTTATAGCAGAACTGCTTAACACTTTTTATATCAGCCGGGAGAGGCCCATTGTCCTCACCACAGAGCGTGAACAGCTTTGTGAAATGTGACATGTCTTGTGTTTAAGTGCTTCACTTGTTCAGTCCAAGAGGTTATTGTACCATAATGTGGCCCAAATCCAGTACAATCACACACACACAGATGTGCACATGCAGGCACGCAGGCTGACAGTCGCGAGATGAAATCCAAATTCTCCATCAATCATAAATAAGAGCACATGGGAACACTTAAATACGCTTGACAGGCCAAGGTTAGCAGGGGTCAGCAGGTCACTGAGATTGGTGGTGGCGGGAGGTTGTGACGAGGAGATGAAGGCGATAGTTTATACTACCACGGCCATATGAACACATCAGAGGAAATCTGAAAGGCCATTAAAACGCCTGCTTTTATGGGTGTAATAATCCCTCTCCTCTGCCTGGGAGTCCAGCCACAGCTTCAGTGACCATCCCCAGATTAGGTGGGAGGTTTGACAGGAAGCAGGCTATCAGCTAATGCAGGGGAGCTCTGACAGCACCAACAGGACCACAAACATCACATTATGCCAGGGCTCTTCATGCAAGTCACACTAGGCATTTGCCACAGAGCTGAACGCATGCGGTGAGACGGGACAACAGTGCACTTTGCAGAGTTTTGTACCCAGACTGATGTTATGTTTAAAAGTGAAAAGAGCTGGTGATCACAAGATTTGGCTTTAATCTGAGTTTATCCAGACACTTCAAATGAATAGCTACACACCCTCCCATTTAATATCAGCTTGCCAGAAGTGTTTGAACAGGTTAAAATTGTTTTTTAATATATGTTTTAATTTTTTTAACAACAGTGAAAATTTACTGGCGTAACTTCTAATTAGCATCCGAATTAGACACTGGAACTCCTTTAAAGTGTCTTTTTTATTTATTTTTATTAATTGGCCTCTGGGCCTGAGGCCCGGTCCTCTCTGGCACAGCTGGCTGCCGGCAGAACCCGTTGGCACGTTACTGCAACCCCCTCTGGCCTCTGCTCCATGGCTGCTGGGTGACCTCTTGTTTGGGGCTCTCCTCAGCTCTTCCCAGGAGGGTGGCACGGTTGCCCCCCTGGTGGTCCTCCTTCGGTCCTCGTATTCTGGGGCCTCTGGATGTCTGGGGCCTGGATCTCCTCCATACCTGCTTCATGCCCTGGGGGATGGGGCTATGGCTCCCCACACTCCCTAGCAGATTGTTACATGGAGAAACCTTTTGAATACAAGCGTGCTGATGCACACAGGTGTACACACGGGTGTTCACAGACACAAACTACACCTTTCTTGGCTGCTACCTCAAAGCACATTGTGCGCTGTTGATCTTGCGTACTGCTCAATAACATGTAATATTTAGTATCTACTGTTATCTACTGTTAGCTAGTTTATTGTGATGGTGTTGTATTTATTATGTTGCTCTTTTTTGTTTGTTTTCTCTTCTGTTTTTTCTTATCTCCATACGTGATCAAGGTGTTTTGTTTTTTTTCTTTTTTTTTCTCCCCCCCTTTCTTACCATCTCTTCTCCCCTCTATTTTTCTTTCTCTCCCTCTTTCTTTCATTCTTTCTCCCTGTCCTATCCCCCAATCATGTCTGTCCCATCTGTAACAACCGAAATAAAATAAAATAAATACATAATTATAATAAAGGTCAATCAAATGGACCAATATGGCAAGGCCATGATGATCCAATTGGTAAAGTAAATCCGCTTGGCATCTTTCTTGGCCTTGAGACAACAATTCTGATGGCTAAAGATCCAAACAGGACAGGCAAAAAAAAAACCCAAAGTGTCTTTATTATCTTTACATGTTAAGCACAGTATCTGCTGAAGCATCATACTATTTTTTCCATGCATACATGCTAAACAAAGATTAAAAAAACACTTCCCAACAAAACCTGGCACCTTCATTCTTGCTGAATATATTAAAGCCTATTGTGTTGGATTTTACAGTAGACCTGTTATAAGATGAGCATGCAGTTCAGACAGGTTGGCACCTGTAGAGACTTTAACAAATGATTACAGCACTATTTTACCACAGATGGAGAGCACAGCAGCACAGCACTCAAGAAACAGTCAATCTGACAACGGCGCACAGCAGCACCCACTGATACAAATCGAACAGGGTAACCTAGTTGCCCTCGCTACACTGACTAGTAAAGCTTGAGTTCAGATCACTCCCTGTGACTCTGCAGCTCAGGGCAGCACTTCAAAGCCACACAGGAGCCCAAAGTTGAGCAGCAGTGGTAGAAATTGTTCAAAGGAATGTAGCCTGTTTACTATTGACTTTGCAACAATTACCCAAGCATATGTGTGTGTAATTAGATAAGGCAGCCAGTTGTTCTCTAATGCGGCAAATCAAATTAACTAAAGATGCCACATTGATTTCTTTGTGTTCCCTAAATTATTCATCTACACTTGCACTGAACCAGCCAGCCAGCCACCAAAGAGCTTTTCTAACTCCTCTGCACCACCACTCCCTTGCACTCCCCACATGCACATGCTGATTGTTTTGTGAGATCTGTCAGAGGACAGTTGCAATATTTGTGCCATCACCATTCAGCAAATTGACCTTCCAGAAAAGAGAGTATTTATGGTGTTATGGAAATAAAGAATTCCCATTAAATGCAGCAGTGTCGATATCCATCGTTCTTGTCGATGCGCATGCACGTGTGTAAGATAGAGGGCGAGAGCCTGTGCTTGCATGGGTGTGTGCACACTGGTGCACTCTTGCAAGAATTCATGCAGCACGCAGGCTGCAGACAGCTACGTCTGAGGCGGCTCCATTGACATCCTGTTCTCTGGCATGTTGCGCACGGGGAGATCAATATGACCTTACCTCCACCACCTACTCCTTTGAAACTTAATTACTGATATTCAGCTACAAAGTCATCATAGTCTGCCTGTCAATATTCATCGGGGACCATTACGGGCCTAATAAAAGAGGTTATTTACGGGCCGCTCTGCTGACACCAGCCGTGGTCGAAGGAATTCAGCTCCAGCCGTCTCAATTTGCTCTACCTCTCTCGGTCTTTTTTTCTCGTTCTCCTTCTCTATCTCTCTCTCTCACTTCTCCCAGAAGCACTGACCTGAAAAAGAAAAATTGACAGCAGAAAAACGAACAGGAGAGAGGATGGAGGTTGAATTCTTCTGGCATGGCTGTTAATTCTCTTAGCCATGTTTGGTGGTTTTTCAGCCAGTGCCAAAAAAAAAAGAAAGAACAGGAAAAAAACACAACACTGTAGCCACTATATCCCTAAATCCCCGGCTAAATTTTAACTTTGCTTGCCACTGACATTGCAGTCAGATCCACAAAGGGATATTTCATGATATTTAGAGAAATGTCACACTGCTCCTTGCCTCCTTGCAACAGCGCAAGTTTTAACATCACCGCTCCAACATCAATTATTGGGTTTTCGTGGCTACAGGACAATTCTTTCATCACTACCAGAAGCAATATTCTGGGTCGCAGAACTCCCACTTCTGACATTGTACGGCAACAAAGAGTTGTGTGATTGTCGGAGATTGCTATATGTTAATTTGTTCAATAAATCAAAGCTTCACTGTAATTGAAATGGCTGGTCATTTGAGGCAGCATGTTGAAAACCGAAAAGTGGAACAGTGAACTCTGTAGATCACAGGAGGTACTGCATCCAGAAGAAGCTCTTTCCTTTTTGTCTGTCATGCTCAGTCTCATAAACATCCATTCGCTCTCATGCATGCAAACATCCTGATATCCATGCATGCACACATATATATGGACACACAGGGCTAAGCAGTTCCTTTAGTATCTTGATTAATATGGTCCACTTTACATCAGCACATTGGATGCCAATGCACACTGTGCCGCCTTCCCTAAGCAATTAGCAAAACGGCTCCACCAGCGTTGGATTATCAACAACAAGATGCCTCCTGACGCGAGCCCTAAAGCCTGCTGACTTATTCATATGTGTTTACTTTAAAAGGCTTTGCCCTGTTTTTTGTAGGTGGGCTGCCTTAGAAATGAAATAAGAACAACATCTGGAGAGAGAAGAGAAGGGGAGGGGGGTTATGCTCAAAGAGGTGTCCAAAAGCAGAAAGACATTTGGGAAAATATAATATGAAATCGTTCTCAACTCATTCATTAAGAAGAAAGCATATATATATACACAACAGCATGCACACGCAAATCCTATATAACCAGGAGGATTTGGCTGGTCGATGCGAGTTTGTGCTTTTGCTGTTGTGGATTTCACTGAGCAAAATCAATGAATTCTCCACTAGCTGAACCCCTTTCACGCCAAAATATGAGCTGTGAATCACATGCTTGTATTTTTAGTTTTTTTGGACGTTTCCTATCCCACATGAATGTCAGAGCTTGAATAATTTAATGTACTCTTAGAATCACATTTAACAGTCTCTCTTTCTTGTCTCCAGGGATCCCAACAAACCAGTTCCCCAAGATACCAAGTTCATCCACACCAAGGCCAATCGCTTCGAAGAGGTGGCCTGGTCCAAATACAACCCCCAGGATCAGCTTTACCTGCATATTGGCCTGAAGCCACGTGTGCGCGATCACTACCGTGCCACCAAAGTGGCCTTCTGGAAACACCTAGTGCCCCATTTGTACAACCTCCACGATATGTTCCACTACACCTCCACCACCACCAAAGTGCCGCCCCCAGAGACCACGCAGAACACACTGTCCACCAAAAAGCCCAATGGGAAAAACTGGCCATTCAACACCAAGAGGCCACCTATGTCCCCGGCCTACAACAGTGAGGACAAAGACTCCTGGGGCGATGATGAGGAGACAGGGCCGCTGGTTGTAGAGAACCCTCGGGATTATTCTACAGAGCTCAGCGTCACTATCGCTGTTGGGGCCTCGCTGCTGTTCCTCAACGTCCTGGCCTTCGCAGCCCTCTACTACCGCAAGGACAAGCGGCGGCAGGACTCCGGCCACGGGCAGCCCAGCCCGCAGCGGCAGACCACATCCAACGACATTGGCCACCACGCGCCGGAGGAGGAGATCATGTCATTGCAGATGAACCAGACGCACCATGAGTGTGAGGCTGGGAACAGCAATGAGGGGGCACTGCGCCTGGCCTCGCTGCCCGACTACACGCTCACACTCCGGCGCTCTCCGGACGACATCCCCCTGATGACCCCCAACACCATCACCATGATCCCCAATTCCTTGGTAGGCATGCCCAACCTGCACCCCTACAACACCTTCACAACTGGCTTCAACTCCACCGGCCTGCCTCACTCTCACTCAACCACCCGCGTATAGCTTTAAGGAGGCATGGGGCAGCCGGCGAAAAACGGGGAGGGGAGGAAGAGGCGGCGGTGCAGGGGTGGAAGAGGAGGAGCGGTCCGGATGAACGAATGGAGGAGAGGATTGTGTTTTATAAATATCACAGGGAGGGGGAGGGCCATGAGGGGGGGTGGGAGAGGAGGGGAAGGGCATCAGTCAGATTAAAACGTGAGGAGATTTAACACGACTTTTACTACGAGGAGAGTTGCTGAGAGCTCTCCGTGGATGTCAAGTTGTGCAGAGCTGCCAAAATCAAACTGCTTCCCTTCTCCCAACCAGGAGAGAAGGGGGGTTGCGGGGTCTTTCTGCAGTGTTTTTTTTCTAAAATAATCATTTTAAAAGCCTTTTTAAGCAGACTGAGGAGATATCAACAGTTTTTTTTTCTTGAATTCATAACAAAAAAAAAACAAAAAACAAAGAGTAGTGCTTTTTATTTCCCATCCCTTTTCCTCCTGCGGGAGACACGTCTAGAACAATGGCCTCTACGTCGATATTCACGAAATGTTTTTAATTGCTTCTTTGTTTTGTTTTACGTTTCAATGCCTTACAAAAAGCTTGTTGTTGTTGGGTTTTTTTGTCATTATTTCTATTCCCCGAGACTATTCCATGTGGGGTGTGTTGCAAACAGTTGAGACTCAAAGATGAGAGACTGAATCCAGGATGGGAATCTAGAGGATATGCAGATGTAGAGATTTTTAAAATCCATTTTGGGCAACTCATTCTTTTTTTTTTTTTCTGTTGCGTATCAACACAACAGCCACCCAAATGGTGTTTTTTCCTTTTCTTTTTTTTTCAAGCTCATATAGAAATGATTTGTCTGGGACAGCTCTTGCCGAGAGATGAGAAGGCAGAGATAAACACTATGTTACTGTGATTGTTTCGTTAAGAGAAAAGTGCATCTTTTACAGCCAATTTATCTGTTCAAGCTATCCGATATTATCTCCACGAGGTGTGCACGTACACATGCTGCTTAGAGCACCTGTGTGTTTGTGTGCATGTGAACATGATTTCTCATTCCTTTGCGTGCAAGCGCGGTCAGGAGCGTGAGATAAAGGAAGAGACACATTGTCGGAACTTGCAAGCTCAAGAGTTGCGAGAGAGCGAGAACGGGTGTGTGCGCGTGTGAGAACGAAAGTGTGCGAGCGAGTGAGTGTGTGTGTGTGTGGGTCCGTGCACCTTTTTTTTTGTTTGTAGGTTATATTGTGTGGTTATGGGTGGGGGGACGGGGTGTTGGGGGCTGAGTACCTTCCCATGTTGTTGATTTCGGTTCATCCACCAGTAGTGTTTCTGCTGCGTCTCTGGGTGTCTGTCTTTGCAAAATAGCACTTTTGTTATTTTTAAAGTTATATATGTCTAATTTTTTGCTTAAAGATTACAAAATAAATCTATTATTTTATGTGTAAGAGAAAAAAATAGCTAAAGATTCAACTGAACTAACTGACATGATTCCATTGACTTTGTAAGAGTTCCTCTTCGAAAGCAGACAGTGGCCTGTTTGCACTGAATAAACCTACATCAGTGCACACTTGTATTTCTTTGAATATATATATATAAATATGGGCATACATACATGTATGTATAGGGCTTCTATGAAGATATATTTCCCACTTAAAAAAAACAACAACAAATATTTAAAACTCTCTTTAGACTGAAAAGCACCAACGCAATTAGTTTCTTTGTACTGTTGTGATTTGAAACATACCAAGCCAAGACCTCTCCAGGTGTCTTTGTAGGAGCTCTATATGTATATTTATGTATAAAATATTTAATATTTATTTATGTATTCCAGATGCATACATGCTGATTGTGCCATGTGCCAAATTAAAACTTTAAAAAATGAACAATATAAAGTTTCACTAAACTTTTTTTCCCTCTCTTGATCAAAGTTCTTTTCCTTCCTATTATGACTTTTTATTATTTCCATTTTGAATGAGTTAAAAAAGAAATAGTCTTGCAGCAAGTGCAAGGCTCCCCCCCCCCCCCCCCCAGGACTTCCTCTCTACCTCCCCTCTTCCTCTTTCCCCTCCTCCCCCTCCTCCTGCCTCTCTCCTTTTCTCTCACTGAAACCTTTGAGAAAAACAGGCTAACAGCTTGGGGCCTATCTGCGTGCATAACCCCAGATTTTACTGTAATTCATGCAAAGTAGTGCTGCAGCAATGGGAGATTGTGAAAAGATTGCCTTGATGTACTCACAGTGCATCCTATTATGTGTTATTCTCGGGGTGAAAACTGGAGTTATTGATTCTGTGAGTAAAACTGACAATTTTCATTAAGTATCTTGGCGTCACACAGATTGTCTCCCGAGTTACAGTGAAATGCAGTAATGCGACCCAACTAGTGATCCAAGATCAGCGCTGCAATTTTCAGAGACTTCATGCACACAGACTTCACCATTTTTATGAAGTATTCCATTACAGCTTCCTCTGGTATTTAATGATTGGAGGTGTAGCAGAGCGAGAAGCACAGTCTGGTCAGCTTATCACCGATCCTGCCAGTAGCAGAAAGAGAGAAATGGGTTATTTGAGGGAAATTGCTCTGAGACTGATCTATACGAGTCATCTTGTTTTTTGCTCATCTTGCTTTATTTGGGAATCACCTACTAATCAGCCGCTCGCTTCAACTGAACCACATCTTCTAAGAAAGGAACAAGCAGCTGGTTTCTACCTGGAGCGCTCTTGTGCACACAGAAAACACTTTATAAGGCGTCCATAACTATAAACTGGACAATGCAGTCACCAAACATTGTGGCATTGATTTATAGGCTGCATATCAAAAGATGGAAGTGGCTTCCAGACCTAAAAAGTAACAATAATGCAGATCTATCTTAAACCTGTATTCTTTCTACTGACCAGGATTAGGGGGCGATTCCTCTGCTGGCAAAAAAGAAGTGAAATTATAGAAATAGAAATATATAAGAAAAATGACTCTTCTGCTTACTTGAACTTTGACCTAATTAAACAGTCCCTAGGTTCAAGTAATGCTGAATATTAGATGAGGTTGATCTTGTAACTGCCATTATTTAAGAATCAATTAGAAAGCAAGGCACGGTTTAGGTTTTGCCTACTTTGAGATTTCCATGGTGCTACATTATGAGCATGCTGCATTTCTCAATAATATTCGTCAATCCTTTGGAGCACCCAGTTTCAAGAAACTGCCAAAGTCCTCCTCTTAATATAACTTTACTAACAAACTGGTGTGTCCTTTTCAATATACAGTCTTTGCATTGATTACACTTTGTTGAGCGAAGCTGTTTTTCAAATATTTCTGATTGTGAAATATGTGCACTCCTTTATTACTGAAGTCCATAAAGGGTTGATTCATTCAGTCATTTAAAAACATCTTCAAACTTTTATGAGAACTTATATTTCTGCTGCGCACTCAATATAATATATAGTATACTTCAATATAATAAAAGTAAGTTAAATTTTGTTTGTGGGGCTCTAGGCAGGAAAATAAGTGTGTTTTGAATATAATAAAAACAAAAATGTGAGATCTAGTTACTGAAACACTGCTTACGAAATCCACAAAAGACACTCTTTGGACTGGAATTTTTAGGGAGCATTTCTTTGACAGAATGTTCACAGTGAGCTCTGTTGAGTATTCCAGCATCACATTTTGTCAGTTTTCCATTGCTGTAGTCATTATCTTTAGATTGCATCAGCTCATGTGTGACCCACACTTACAACTTGGCTAACTATATCACTATATTGGTTATAAATACTATAGATTCTTAGAGGGCAGTAGCTGAACCACTGATTGGGCATAACAATATGAGCATAACAATATATCACTGACACTGAATAACAGTGATTTTCTCTTCATCACAGAACCTGTTTATTTGTGGGACATACTAGGGAGAAAGTGAACATTGCGTCCTCAAAGTTGATGTGTTAGAAGCAGGAAAAATGGGACAAATTATGAAGGCTAGGCAACTGGGTCAGAGAGCATCTCTAAAACTGCAGTTCTTGTTAGGTGTTCCCAGACTTCAGTGGACAGTGTCGGTCAAAAGTGGTCCAAGAAAGGAACAGTGGCGAACCAGTGACTGGGTCATGATTGGCCAAGGCTCACTGATTACTGCACTTATCTGGGGAACACCTGGCACAAGGACTTATTATGGGAAAAAGGCAACCCAGTAGAGGCGGTGTGATGCCCTGGACAATGTTCTTCTGGGAAACCTTGGGTCCTGCCATTCATCCAGGTGGTATGTTGACACGTACCACCTGCCTGAGCATTGTTGCAGACCATGTACACCCTTTCATGGAAATAGTATTCCCTGATGCCTGTGGCAGGATAATACTCCCTGCCACAAAGCAAAAATGGTGTAGAAATTGTTTTAGTAAAGCAATGTGTTTGAGGTGTTGACTTGGCTTCCAAATTCTCCAATCAAGTATCTGTGGGATGTGCTGCACAAACAAATCTGATCCATATGGAGGCCCCACCTCACTGCTTGCAGGACTTAAGGATCTGTTGCTAACATGTTGGTGCCAGATACCCCAGCAAAACTTTAGGCGTCTAGTGGAGTCCATGCCTTGATGGCTCACGGCATTTTGGGAATCAAAAAGGGGGACCAACACAATATTAGGCAGATGGTCATAATCTTATTTCTGATCAGTGTATTTTTTTCTGTTGTATCACATCAATTTTGTCCTGGTTAAACATTCAAAGAGTCTGTGAGCACACAGTGGGGAATAAAAAATCATACAAATAAAAACAAAGGAAACAAAAAAGCCTAATTGTTATGCTAAACATCGGCATCTATTGGAAGATCGTCCCCAGTCATCACATAACTGTGCAGCTCTCCTCCGTGTTTCAGCATATTTCAAGTTTCACAATAATAAGCTATTTTGGATCACTTCCGCTGCACTGATCGCTAAATTTGAAAAGAGGATAACTACTGGACAGGTGGCCAGAAATATCCCTGTAAAGCTCTGCCTCTGCTGAATGCATGAATAAGCAGCTGTTTGCTAACAAGTTTACAACAAGCTCATGAAAATTTTACAGGAAACGTACTTTGAGCCTGGAAGTTATTTTGCCATTTGGGTGAACAGCACCGTTATGAATCAAAGCGGATTCTTCTCTTCTCTGATTCATGTGCAGTGGTGTGAGGTCAGTGTCCACTGGCCCCAACACACACACACACACACACACACACACACACACACACATAGAGTGACACAGAATTAAAATTGAGTGGTGGAGCTGAGAGTGAACTATCAAAGGGAAGAAATGTCATGGGAGGGCAACTTGTTTTTTGCCATGTAATTTTCCCATATGCTGTTAAAGCAGAGCAGATGTCACTGAGTATTGGCAGGGGCAGACCTAGTGGCCTCAGGGACACAGTTTGGGATACATGGCCCTGTGAAGAGCCACATAATTAAGTCACGGACCAAAGGGGGAAGACCATGGAAACTGCGGCAGGAGGAAAAACGGGATCAAACTTCCTCTGCACTCAGTAACCTGAAGGCTTGATGAAATTAGTCCAAACTTCCTATGACACGAATCGCACGAGGGGGAAAAAGGGAATGGATGGCTCAGTGGGGGGGGCGGTTATGAGTGAGACGCGTTTCCACGACCGAGATTTGTTTGCAGTTCAGCGAGTGTGCTTCGAAAGTGACATCATTCAAGGAATGGCTAGAATACCCCGATGGGGGTTGTGACTGCCTCGACAGCAGCGAAGACAAACCCAGCCTAGGAAATGGATGTGCCAAATTACACAGTCCCACCCGCTGGGAGAGAGCTGCAGGTGTGTGCAGTTGTGGGTGTCTTTGTGTTTGCGTGAAGATATTGAGAATTTTATTTCTACCACAGAGAGTACGTTGTTACCTATATTTCCTCTCACCTTCTTCCTCACCTTCATCTCTCTGCTCTCAAGCCTCGTTCATCTTTTTCCCCATCTCTCTTTTTCTTTTGTGCTCAAATGTTGTTGGGGTTTTTTCTGCTCCCCTCATGTAAAATATATCTGGGCAGCTCTCCCTCTGTCTCGCACATATATGACGCGCCCATTTTCTCTTTCTCCAGCTTTGTAAGTGCCATAATCTGGGCTACTCATTTCCACTCATTTAGAATCTAATTTTCTTGAGTTACCGTGTTTCTCTGCTGACTACGAAGCTAATGAACATTACTTATTGAGAAGCAGACTCGAGTCAGTCAGTGAACCAAAACTCTTGCACTTTGAATTTAAATAGCCTGTTTTTCTCCAAAAGGGATATCATAATGTGTTTTGTCAAAACATCAATAATCTATTATTTCCATGTGAAAAATGCAATCTTGAAAAAAAAAATGTTTTGTACCCATACTGCATAGACAAATCTGTGGCATTTTTTTTTCAGGTTCACCTAATGAGGAGTTTCATGCGAAGGCAGATATTATAACACAATGTATCACTGGAAACGAGGACTGTAATCAACAAAAGCGATGGGCTTTGAGCCCAGATACATCTCTGATAAATCTATGTTATCTCAGTGTTATTGTACAGATTACTAAAGATGCCCTGTTACTTCTATGTTTATGTCCATAGAATGTATTTATAATCATGGAAACTGGAGTAATCAAAAATAAAATATCTATTCTTTATGTATCTTATTGTGATTCTCGTGAATATAGAACATCACATTCATTTTCAGAAGACTTGAAGTCAAGAGGTTTGGGTGTTTTGTGTGTGTTTGTACATACCCGCCAGACACTTTGATTATGTACACTTTGCTAATACTAAATTGGACCCCCTTTTTTCTTCTTCAATATTTGTGGCACAGATTCAACAAGGTGCTGGAAACTTTCCTCAGAGATTTTGGTCCATATTGATGTGATAGAATCACAGAGTTGCTGCAGCTCTGTCATCTGC